ACATAAAAAATAGGAGTTTGCAATTTATATTATTTATTATTTGATTTTTTAATGTCATAGATATTTTTATTAAAAGATTTGAATTTCTGGAAAGGAAACATTTAAGAAATGTTTTTTTCAATTACCAATAATATTATCAAAATATATAAATGTGATCAATAGCAGCTTGTTTATATTCCAGAAATTAATGTATTTTATATTAACAATTACCTTTAGTAAGGATTTGTATTATCAAAAATTTAGGATCAAATTATGATAGGTAAAATTTCTCAAAAAACCATGAAAATAAAAGTTCTAAAAGGACTAGACCAGTTAAAAAAGAAAAAAAATAAGTCTTTTAACTGCAACAAAACTTATATAGATCTCTTATTTCAAAGATTAAAAGGGCTTTCAAATATTTTACATTTAATTTTTTTTCTTTGAGATCTTTCTTATAATTGATATCAAAAGTGTTACTTGACTTTTTTTGATCACTAAAAGTTAAGTTTTTGAGTGAAAAGGGTTGTAAGCAATAAGAAAAGAATAAAAATGACTCTTGAAATCAAATTTCAAGTTCTTTTAAGGAAAGTATTAAGTTTTACTTTATTAACAAAAAGTGAAAACCTTTTTATAAACATTTTTTTGTATGTAGTTAGAGTATTAATAGAAAATTTTCTTAAATAATTTAAAGTTAAAAATATTTTATAAGTATATATTTTTTTAAAAAAGTTATCTACTTTGATAAATATTATTTAAAGAAGTTTAGAATTGATTGTTTTTTATTTATTTTTTTTTACAATATATTAATTTAACAATTTATTATTTTTTAAATAATTTATAATAATAAACTATTAATAATAATTTTAATTAATAGAGATTTAATAATATTCTATTAAAAAAGTAAATATTGTTTCTTGATTTTACTTAAAATATCCAATTTAGATTTTATTTTATTTATTACAAATTAATTATGGGTTTTTAAAGTATTTGATATATAAAATTTTGCAAATTACTTATGTCCCTTTTTGAGGGACTATATTGATAACTCTTCACTTTAATAGGAACAAAATTCAGAAAATATTATAAATCAAAGGTTCTAACAATAAAGAATTATCCTAGGTAGTTTTTTTATAGTTAATAATTTAGAATTTTTAATGTTTTCTAGTAAAAAAATTTGACTTTTGCTCCTGTCTTCCTTTTTAAAGAATTATCTTTAGTTCAAATTAGTTTAGTAAACTTTTTATATTTTTTTAAGTAATATATAACAATAAGTTGGATATTATATGATAATCTCTATAATATTAGATAATTATTTAATATCTCAATAAGGGCATTCCATGATGGCATGATTGTGAGTTTAAAAATAAGCTTCAATAATTTAAATAACATATATAATATATAAAATTAAATTAAAATTGATTTGAACCCAATAAGATTTAATTCTAAATAGAATCATTCAAATTTTTAGTATCTTATATTTCACTTTTTATTTGTTTTTTGTTTTCTTGCTTACTTTTTGAAATGTTTAAATAGAATAATTAGAATTGATATAATTAAAGACAATAAATTTCGCCATATTATTTAATATTTAATACTAATGGCTGTAATATACCATGGACAATAATGCGTAATATTATTTGAAATAAAGATTGAGTTGAAGATTTTTGATGATCTCATGATATAATTCTAAATCGACTTCCTTTAGAAATAGATGCAACAAAATATAGTTTTGACGGAAGGTTAGTCCATTTGGAAATTTTAAGATGCTTTTTCCCATTGATAGAAAATGCACAAGCTCTGTTATCCATGTCCAAACTCACGAAGATCACATAACCAGTAATATTGAATAATGACATAGAATTTGGAGCGCCCCCATCAGTAGTATCGTGATAATATCCACTATGAGAGCTTAATACCCAACCATTCGCTTGATATCCTGCCCAACTCGAATAATCTAAAGCTTCGCAACATAACCCAATCCCTTCGTCACGACCAACTCCTTCAATTAAAATGCAAAGTTCATGAATCCCACTGTTCATCAGATAATTGGTTCGGACGCTTCGATAATCCTCGGAATTACAACTTATAGCACGCCCATCTGAACTAATGGATATATCTGGTCCGCAACCATTCTTATCCCACTTAATATCTCCACGAGAATACGATATTCTTCGACGAGCGTGAAAACGATAAGCTTCCGTCATATTTTTTTGCGTAATTAAATCCAAAGGTTCGATAATATCTGTGAGAACATTTCCGTTAATACGCCAAAGATCAATATATTCGATTAGAGATGCCAATTTATTGGAAATAGAAGCACGAATATTTGAATTATCAGGCATTCTTTCATAGTGAATATCAAATCCATGCTCAATTTTGTTCCACTCTGGCAATCTTTTTTTTAAAACTGAAAAGCCTTCTGGAGTCACTTCTTTTGCTGATAATAAAATTGCATAGCGTAAGACGGAATATTCATTCGAGGTTAAAATGTCCTTTTCACTGTATGTCATGAAAAGTAAGCATTGCAGCGCTTGAAAAGACAATCGACCAAATTCAATGATATCTAAAGGAATCTTTGCGACCGTTTTTACTAGGAAGTCAATGATTACATTTTCTGCTGGTAGAGACAGGTGCTTAACTACCTTTGATAGCAATTCTGGTGCATTATTTTCCATATGACAGGTTTGCTTATAAAAGTCTAAAATAAAATCTTTAAGATTGTCTAACTGAAGGAAATCGGCTGCTTGAAAAATACTGAATGCATTATCTACTGATAAAATATCATAGTCGATTAATCCAGTATATAAATACGTAAGAATAACCTTCATCACCGAAGTTTTAATATCCGGAAATGATACTTGTTCTTCTAAAGATTCCTTCATTCCGTTATATAATAATCGGTCGAGAATATCGGAACGAGCCGCAAGAATTGCACGGTTTCCGTGAAGAATTCCGTCTTCGCATTTAATTTTTAGATCACTATATTGAATATTATTGACCAATAAACTTAGGTCTGCAGTAAGGGAATTTCCACGAACCATATTTAAATGTTCTTTTTTAGCTATGTAGTGAATATTTTTTAAGGCGGGCTTCAAGTATAAAAGTTATCAACTCTGATAATAATACTGTTGCGCAATTTTCTATATTAGTTAATGATCAATGCGTTAATTGAAAATAGTTACGATCATTAAAAATTTTCCGGGTCACGGTTTACTCGATAAAAGAAAATTTGATACACGGGGGATTTCGAAAAATCAAAAACTTTTTTTAAACGTAAAAAGTTGTTACATAATAAACTTTTTATTCTATTAATTATATCTCTTTTATGTATTAGT